ATGGAAACCAGACAACTGAACAGTTCAATACCCGTAAAAGCTACCTCGCTCACAGAAAGTTCTTACATTCTGCCTGAGGCCTGAGACATCGCATTTAAATTATTTTACGATAAAGCTTTGGTCTAAAACGTTTTTGTGCATTTATGGTGGACAAGGTTGGTGCAGGGTGAAAACCTTTCAGGTTTACTATTAGTTTACATTTAATAGACCAGAAGTAGGTTCTCTGTTCATTTTTGATAGTAAATAAAATGGCTATAAAATGCCTATACTTGCATTGTAGACATTGTGAGCCCTGGTTCCCATCAACACCACCGTGAAGAAATTAGAGTTTTTAACTTTCTCTACAAACGCACCAATAAACATCAAAACACTCTGAGTAACACTGTTTACATCACTGACTGAATTATGCAGAACTGTTTACAAACCAGCAGAATTCTCTTTTATCTACACAGTAATTCATTACCTCCAGCAACAGCAAACAGAACCCCAGTGGCTTTGCAGATGAACGTCCGCAGTCGCACAATCCCTGGAATCTTCACTCCGTTTAAGTAACTTTTAATCTCTGGTATGCCTGATCCTGCCGCCACAGGCTAACATTACACACAAAAAAGAATTAAATACACGAGAAAATTGTATTTAAAAAAATTAAATACAGCAGAAAGCTGAAAATAACTACAGAAAATCCATTGATTAACTCAGGATTAACACAAACTGCTTTAGTATTGTCAAAGCTAAATATGCTGCTAATATGCAATAAACAAATAACTTTATATGAGCCGATAAGACTTTTACAATATATAATAAAAATTAGATGTGCTTACTACGGATGTGTGGTGAACAAATACAGCATATTGTTACCTCAATCAGAACCAGAACACTGGCAATAAATACAAATGCCATGTTGAAAGCTAGAAGCTCAAGCAACGACAACGCAAGACACCCATTTTCACTGCACTCCTCCACAGCTAAAGGGTATGTTAAGGATATTCAGTGTGCAAACTGGGCAAGCTTCATGAATAACATACTTGCTTCCTATAAAACTCTTTTTAAAAAATTGCTGCCAACATAGAAAATTTGCAAAGGATACATTTTCCAACCAGTCTGAACTTCAGCTGTGTGAAGAGTCGTACAAAGAAATCAACAAAGACGCCAATCTGTAAAGACAGAAATGATTATTATTACGTATTTTTGTTTGATAATACACTGTTCATGCTAACTATAAGTAGTATTTACACCCTTTGAATGTGAATCCACAAAAATTCAGATGTTTTAAAGTTTTACCACATTCAATGTAACAAACATTGAAAGATTACTTGGTATAATTATGTATTACACTATTGTCACATAGAGTTTGGCAGAAAATAAAAGCCACCATATACAGACAGGTGGCAAATTAAGAGGAAAAACCAACATAAAGTGCCTTAGCAAGGTGTTGAGTCACCACAAGCCATCAGAACAGCATCAATGCATCTTGGCGTAGACTGTACAAGTCTATGGTACTGTACTGGACAGACAGAACAGCATTCTTCCATAAGACATTCTCTGAATTTATGTCTTCCTGATGGTGGTGGAGAGAACTCTCTACCGTGTTGGTCCAAACTCTCCCATAGGTGTACAAATGGGTTAAGATCTGGTGCCACTGCATTCGATTTACATAATTTCCCACACTCATCAACCCATTCAATGACCTCTAATGCCCTGTGGATGGACTTTGCCACCCTGGAAGAGACTCCCATCAGGACAGAAATGCTTTATCTTAGGATAAATGTGATGAATCAGAATAACTGTTATTCATTTGTGAATCACTGATTCAGGCCTTAGTGTACACCACATTTGCACTCACCCTTTTGTATGAGGACAACAAGAATGACTCATCAGAATACATCACGCTCATTGAATATGTGCTTTTGATCACAATCCCCAAGGTCACATTAGTCACCGTTAGTGCTGAAACATTAACCAGTTGAGCAGTCTTTGTGATCAAAGCTCCTGCCCTCCGTGCCCCAATAATGACCCCTCCTCCAAAATCTTTTCCTCTTGCCATCTTGATGAAAAGTCAAGGTCAACTGGGCTTTTCAGCATTTTTCTGCATGCCACAGAGCACTGAAGGATGTTAACTGCTTACTTTTATTATGTTGTACACCTGTCTGGAAACATCTGCAGTCATTTATTAAGAGTTTTCCTTTCATATGTCACCTGTCTGTGTAATCTGTGACACTCTTCACTGTTAAAATTGAATAAAAGCCAGTCTATAGGAAGCTACAACAGACATTCAATCTTAAATCTATCGTTAATCTATCTATAGACAAAGTACATGTGAAGTGTTTAATATCACAAATCATAATGTCTAGAACTAAGATGGGCTCAAATGGATCTATTGTGAATTATGTAACTACTTAAACCTTTAGTAAGGTTTACATACTTAATTACAGCTTCCTAATGAAACACTTAAGACTTGCAACATATTAATGAACCTCGAGTATCAGCATATGATCTATGTAGGCATGGAACCAGACAAATCCATTCAAATATAGGAATAATTCATACCAGGCCTGTAGATACTCCAATGGCAAACACCAACATCCACTTGACAGCTTCATACTTTTTGGTTTTCTAGAATACAGAAAAGTAAATTATACTACAAATGTGAAAATAACTGGACAAGGTGCAGTTACCACAGACACACATACTACACACTGTGATCTGATACCTCACCTTATTGTCCAGTCCCTCCAACACCTCCACATAGGGCTCATTAATGCACCGGTCATAATCCAAACTCTGTGAAGAAAGGGGGGGTCAGTAAAACCTCAGCCATCATATTCATTTACTATACTGTTTCATTTGATTGAAGTTGGCATAGTTTGTCTCACCTCATAGTCTTTCCTTGGGAGTATTTCGTCTTCATCTTCCCTGGTCTCACCCAAAATTGTCTGACAAAGAAGATGTAAAAGGAAGATAATGAGGCACATTTTCATAACAATAGTCAACTAAGACAGGCTCTAAGGGTTGATGTGTGGGTTAGCTTCAGTAGTGGCAGCTGGCAAGCAAAGCAGATGGTCAACATTGATTCTTAACAAAGGGTCCTCTCCTCAATATGCACAGTACGCTGTCTTTACCATTTCTATTTCTATTCCTCTCCCAATATACATGGGAACTGCCTGGGTTTCAAATACAGTCCCTACAGACTGAGACTGGTATTAGGCCTATTTACAGAGCTCATGTTTTCATTGTGACGATAATAATTAAACAACACTGACTATAACCAGCCAACAGTGACATGGCTGGCTGCTACATCTCTGATAATCCTGAGAGTGTAAAATAAACACAATGAACACGACCCTGTGTGACTAAACTGGCTGTCATTCACACAACTACTAAGAAAGCCATGAATTGTTTTTAGCTAATATAAAAAACACAGAGAGGGTGGAGCATCTACAGGAAGCTGTGCTAGCTAACGTTAGCAACGGTCAAAACATTGTGCTATAACTCGCACACAGCAGCCACACGGGCAAGATATTGCAAAAGATACTCTAGCTGGCAAAGAAACACAAAATGCAAAGGGGTCTAAACGGTACCAGTTCCTCTGGTGTCCTGGTTTCTCCTTCTGTGCAGCAGCAGCACTGACAGCACAAGCAGCTCTCACAACACGCCATGTTCAGCACCAACACTAACGATGTCCGAATCCTAAACGAGTGGTTCATTTGAACCGGTTCTTTTCATTAAATGAACGAACCGACTCGTAACCGAGTCGAACACTTTTGCAGCCTCTACATGTCCATCTTATAGAGTAAAGATTTCTCTTAATATCTGAATAATCATTATTCACAATTTAACTGCATAAAATGACAGAAAAACACTACTTTGTATCACATTACTAGCTCTTTGAACCACTTGCAATGATATTTGTGGATTGTATCTGTTTCCGTTACGTGTGTGCGCTTTGTGCGTTGCAAATGGGACTCCGTTGGTGTCCGAACATCATTTTATTCGGAGGAGACGGCGGTAAAATAGACTCGTGAATCAATGAATTAATGGATCAATGGATCAATACATCAATACGATTCAGTTAAAAGGAAATCGCGAAAGAATCGATTCGTTAGACTGAATCGAACCTCTCATCGCAAATCACAGTCTGCTCATGTGACGCCCACGGACCGCAAATGTTTCAAGCGCTCTGCAGCTGCGCGGGTTTTGCGCAAAACGGACGTGATAAAATTAAACAGCACAAATGACCAACACAAAAATACCTAAATGAAAAAAGAAACATTTTGTAGAAAGCAAAAAGAGAATGACGAGAATTGTCATTACACAATACAACATATACCAACTAACTTATGTAATGAACAGACCAAATGAAATGACCGAAAACGAGAAAAGAACTCAAGAAATCATGAACAACCTGTAACAATAATAGAATTGTATTAATAAGCGTCTTTTAAGTCACCCACAGACTCTAAAACATTGTCAACAAACATAATCAACATAATAAAATAATAATGCACACGTTAAATAAAAACAAGATCAAAGATCAAAACAGATTAACAGGCAAAACCAGAATAAAATATTCAGAAGAACAGAATACATTGAAGTCATAATGTCACACATGTACAGGAATCTGGGGGACACTTTTGTTTCATAAAAGCGGATACCTCTTAGTCATATAGCTAACTTTAATTCCAATTTCAAGCCTGATCAGGAGGAGAGGTGAGGACATTCCAGTTAGACAATCACTACTCTGCGAAATACATGGATCTTTCTTACTCTTCTCTCTGCATAGCCTACACGTCTATTATATGAATGCATTGCTTTAGTTAAAGCAGAACCTGTAGTTAAACCCATATCTATAATCGGAGCCTTCAACACACTGGCCCTCTAAACCCATAATCAAGCCCAAAGAATAAAACGCACACAGGTATACACAACACGTGTACTGACTGAGCGTTGCGTCGGTGTTAAATAAAACATTGCAGCTGCTCTGTGTTGAATGTACCCTCAGCATGGACGTGGCTTGTGAACTCGTCGCCCCGCCCCTTTACCTCTGCTACTATAACTCACGTTCTTCTCTTATTCTGCTCGTTCGTTGGATGCTGAACCTTCCGGGTACGGGATTCTCCTTAGTTGTTGTTTTTTTGTGGACATTAGAGAAAACTCTGAGGTAACAGGCCGTCTTTTATCATTTCCACTTCAGTTAAAGCTCGTTGAGGCCAAATCAGCTTTCGCAGTAGCTTTCTGTGCTAACTTTAGCTAGCGCTCTCGCCGGCGTAGCTGCAGCCGCAGCACATGGACCCTCCCTCTTTGCCGTCTTTGTGGGGGTTTTAAATTCCCACTGAAAGTAACGCACATCTAGAATAGCTGCTCAGTGTCAGTTTTCTTTGCGGTTATTTATCTGCAGTAGTAGGTAATGAATGCAGAAACTAGTCAGTTAGGCTGGTTAGGTTGTATCTCGCTATTGTTAGGAGAATAACGTGGTCCTCGCTGACTAAGAATAGTAATGATGTTAACTTACTTCACTATGTGCCGCAGACAAGCAGTAGACTGTGCGTTGGTGCTCAGCGTAACAGACAAAGCATGGAATTTCAGCAACGTTTCCTTATTACTGCTTATATAAACGGACCCACTTCATAGCTGGCGAACCCGTTGCTGGAGCTGGGCGATATATCGTCAGTACCGGTATTAACACAGTACGATGTTGCTTTTCAGTTTTGGCGATACATTTAGCCATATTTTTACGGACATATCTGATATATAATGAACATTATATCCATGACATAATGCTTGTGAAAAGCAGTGTTTTTGTTGCCAAACAGTTCATTTTTAATTTTTTATTTCTATTTCGTGCACTTTAAAGGTGGGTGATATGGCAAAAATATAATATTGCGTACTTTAGGAAATTTTTGTTATACACAATATGTCATGATATTTGTATTTTTAGACCTCTGATCAGTTGTAACAGAAAAAGAAACAGTAGTCCCACTTTTTAATAAATACTGTCAAAAACTGGGATCGCAATGATTTTTATTCAATATTTTGCATACTGTGTTGCACTAAATCCAGTTAAACGGGACTAATTTTGCTCCTTTACAATGAAACACGGTGTTGGTCAGTACCGACCATATCCATGATATGTTCAGACAAGCAGATTGTATTGTGACATAATTTATCACGATAATGAAATATGTTGTCTTATTGCCCAGCCCTACTCTTTACTCATGATATTCAGGACTTGACGGTAATGTGCAATCTGTCATTCGCTGAGATTGTTGACATTCAGATTGTTTTAAAATAACATTCTAAAAAAAGAAAGTTAAACAAGTAGCCTTTTTTTCTTGGAAACATTTACGATACTGTGTAGGAGTTTAACTTAGAGTTTAGCATAATTTCAATAGCATAATACAAACACCATTGCAGAAGAGTCCAGTCAGTACAAGCTATGTCAGGTTCTAAGTCATTCTTTTAGTTCATTAACTTTATTAATGCTGACTAAAAAATCATCTGCTTCCATGAGACATTGGGGAATTATTGTGATATTGATTTTTTTCAATACTGTATGGCTCTGCTTCTGACTGAAGACAGTATAGCAATGTTATTTCCTTCAGCTACATTCTAGTCAGTGTTTTTTGCTTTTAATATGTGCACCAGTGTTGTGCTCAGGCTCCAGTGATACTTAGGATCAGTTACATATAAACATATTCTCCTAACCACATCTAGTTAAAGGTTTGCTGCTGTGGTTATAGGTAATATGGTCAACCAGTGATTGGGCCCCAGCTGGCAGCTGTGTAAGAGTGACTCAAATGGGAAATTAGTTTCATTAGAAAGTTGTACAGTAGGTAGGCTTACTTTATTGAAGTTAGTAAGCATTTGCTTGTGAAGAAAGTTTGCTTTAATATATGTGCTTCAGTGATATTAGGGTTCAGGCAGATATAAACGTTTTCTCCTAATCACATCCAGTTAATGCTGTGCTGCTCTGTCTGTAGGTAACATGGTCAACCAAAGAGTGGACACTGGCTGGCAGACATGTAAAAGTGACTCCAGCGGGGGGAGCAACAGCGGAGAGAGCTCCAAGGAGAGCTCCAGGTGTTCCACCCCAGTGCTGGACGCAGACCGTACTGACCGACTGCGGGATAAGATGAGGAGGAGAATAGAGTCCGGGGACCAGTGGTTCTCTCTTGAGTTCTTCCCCCCTCGCACAGCCGGAGGGGCGGTCAATCTGATAGCCAGGTGAGCTTGCATTCTTAGACCATGAGGGAACTGTATGTCATCGTTTCCATCAAATCTGCAGGCCTGGCCTTCTTTCACGTTTTAGTTGTTTTTTTTTCTGTATTTCCTTTTTTATATGTATATCTGATTTCACATGAAATGCTATCATATCATCATACTGCACACCAGGGGTCATCTCTTGTCATCTCGGAGTCCAGCACAGTTTAGCGATTTCCCTGCTTTAACACACATGATTCAACGCACCAGTTAATTACCAGGTTTAGTAGATGTATTAGCGCAGGACAGTGACAAAGCTGTGCTGGACTGCAGCCCTACAAGACCAGAATTAATGAAGTTATACGTGATTTCATCTTATTGTTAAATAAGGACAAGAAATAAATAGTAATAAAGGGAGGAAAAAGTAGACAGTTTTCTCTAAACTTTCCTGATTGGAAGTGAGTGTGCTCAGAGCAGGGAAAACACTAAATGTGCAGGGCAGCGGTGCTATAGGACAGGACTGTAGGAGTGGAGTGCCTGACTTTGCACTGCAACTAGCTAAATTCGTTTGTGCTCATGTACTTCAGGTTTGACCGCATGGGATCCGGCGGACCCCTCTTCATAGACATAACGTGGCATCCGGCAGGAGACCCCGGCTCAGACAAAGAGACGTCCTCAATGATGATCGCCAGCACGGCGGTTAATTACTGTGGACTGGAGAGCATCCTGCACCTGACGTGCTGCAAACAGACGAAAGAGAAAATCACAGCTCATCTCAACAAAGCCAAGCGATTGGGGCTGAAGAATATTATGGCATTAAGAGGAGGTAAGATTCATGATGATTTAAGACTGAAGGTGAAATCAGCATCATTATTGTTATTGTTTTGTTGCCAATGTATATACTTTACCTAGTTAACATTAATATACATAAAAGCTAAGAATCTTTATTCCTCTCCTATAAAGTTATCATTTCAGTGATTTTGATGACAGTGTGTTCATGTATTTGACGCTTTTCACATCACATATTGTCAAAATTTATGAATAAGAAGGAAGTATAGTTGAACATGAAAATGTCTGTCCAGATCCTATAGGAGCAGACTGGGAGGAAGAAGAGGGAGGATTCAGCTACGCTACAGACCTAGTGAAGCACATCCGCCATGAATTTGATGATTACTTTGACATCTGTGTCGCTGGTAAGCATTTAGAAAAATATTTGTGTTTTTGCATCTTAATTGTGACTTTAATTCATTTTAATTTATGTGGTTTATTTTTTTTGATGATGTGCATTGTTAATCATTCCTGACATTTAAGAGTTAGTTTTTTTGTTTGTTTGTTTGTTTGTTTATTTGTAAAATCAAATATGCCAAATATGCTCATTACCTAATTGTAGGATACCCAACTGGGCACCCTGAGGCTGAGAGCTATGAAGAGGACCTGAAACACTTGAAAGAGAAAGTGGATGCAGGAGCGCACTTCATCGTGACGCAGCTCTTTTTCAGAGCAGAGACTTTCCTCAAATTTATCAAGGACTGCAGAGCCATTGGCATCACCTGCCCCATTCTACCTGGAATCTTCCCCATACAGGTACTGAAAGCAGTCACTTATTAAGATGAACAGTTTGTCTTGGAGTTAGATAAACTCGATGCTTAGTAACACACCTACAGATGAAAAACACGCATGAAGAAATGCTTTCCTGATTAATTATTTTACTTATAGATGACGCTTAAGCAATTGTTATTTGCCCAGGACAGTTATAGCATAAGAGGCATACTATCTCTTATAGCTGCTTTATTGGTTTATGTCCATAATGCATTTCACTTTATTGTATGTACCTAAGCTCTCTGACTACCATGAATAGGATGTTTTAAACACGGTCATGCACAGCAAAATGACCAACAGAATCAATTCTTACAGTATTGTGTTCAGTTTACATTAAGGGTGCAATTAGATGTCAACAATGCCAATGATGTTGATGAGATGGGTTGTTGGAGATGGCACAAAACCAAAAAGTGATTCTAGAAGATGTATTTTTACAGAATTGGTCTGGGGCAGTGTTAGCTATGCTGCTCCAGGTCTAAAATATAGAAGCCAAATTTGGGCTCCAGATGTGTCTCAGATGATCTGTTACATCTGTGGTAAGTGGAAATTGGGTAAATTTGAATTTGTGCAAAGTGAGGTTGTATTTCAGGGTGGATTTGTTAGAGGATTAGATCAGATTTTTCTTTTTTCTCTGACATCTGATCCAGAAGTATCGTTTACTTTAAAAAAGACATTTTTCATTCATGCAGTAATTTTAAAAGATTTGAAATTGGGGATAATATAGTTTCTGTTTTTTTTTAAATTGTTACTGCTGTTATAATTATTTATTTATTTATTTTTTTTGTTACAGACGAAATCAATTGTCATAAAAGTTTGAATGATGTCAGTGCAAAAAACAGAGTATAATAGTTCTTAAATGAACAATAGTTGCTTCATTTATAGGCATAGTTGTTGGTAGCAGCCCTAGTTTGCGTAGTGTAATCACTAATGATTTTACTGTATGTAAGTAAAACTCAACATACACTCATCATCTTCTCCCTCACAGGGTTACCACTCCTTACGGCAGCTGGTCAAGCTGTCCAAACTGGAGGTGCCAGAGGAGATAATGCAGGTGATTGAGCCTATCAAGGACAACGATGATGCTATCCGGAACTATGGCATCCATCACGCAGTGGAGATGTGCAAGGTGCTGCTAGCCAGCGGGGAAGTGCCTGGCCTCCACATATACACACTCAACAGAGAAGTGGCCACTATAGAAGTGCTCAGACAGCTAGGCTTGTGGGCAGAGGACCCCCGGTGAGTCTTAAAACTTGTAAAACATCACTACAGGGAAATACTAAATCGGCTAATAAAGAAAATACTTACGGGTGTTAAATTCACTCTGGTAAGCAAGATTTTTTTGTGACAGTGCTGCAAAACAATTAAGAAGAGCAGTTGTGAAGTTTAATTCTCTTAAGTACACCCATTAGCTGAAGTACATTCGTCCCTGAAGTACTTAAATATTTAAAATGTTTTATGCAAGTAGCCATAGAGGTTAGACCTGGTTTTGTCCTGCAATATAAAAGTGGTTTATTTTTTTTAATTTAATGAGTGAATGTATCTAAACAATTTGATGTGGTACATAATCAATCCTTATATGATCTATTTTTAAGGCGACCTTTGCCATGGGCTCTCAGTGCACATCCCAAACGGAAGGTGGAGGATGTCAGACCGATCTTCTGGGCCTCACGGCCCAAAAGCTACATCTACAGAACTCAGGACTGGGATGATTTCCCCAATGGAAGATGGTATCTAGCTGATTTAAATGGATTTAATCTACCAGAATTGTATTTTATTATGTAATATCAAACTCCTTGGCAAACATTCCATTTGGTTTTCTTGTGAGAAGTAGTGTATTTTCATTATTAGAAAGAGCGCTTCAAATTTGTGTTTCATGCATAATGTAACCAAATGTAATGGAATCTTGTGATACAATTTGCAATAGGCATTACATTCTTGAATAAGTTGAGATTGTCAGCTTTAATTTACAGGGTATTTAACAAAAAGGACTGTGAGGGCAATATATAGACATGAATGTACCTCTAAATTTAAAAAATTAAAAAAAATCCATTTGTTATTCTCATTATCCAGTGTGCTCTATACAGGGTCAAAACAAAAAAACATGGTGGGTGCAGTTACTTATGACACTGCGCTGCAATCGAGCAGATTGACAATAGAATCATGAATCACCAATAGTCGCGTCTTTTGCAGTGGCCAATCAAGTTGGATGATACGAAAATGCGCCATTTAAGGTGCACAGAAATAGTCATGTCTGTCTTAATCATTTTCTTTAGGATGTTTTAATGTGCAGTCTACGTTCATATCCGCTGTCCCATCTTGTTTCAGAACATTCTGTAGCAGTGCAAAGCACAGCCGTTGTTATTGATAAGCTGATAAAGCCGTGATGCAGCCTTTTACTGCAGAATTGCTTCTCTCATGAAACATGAATCAGGACTTAAGTGATATTGACATTGTTGTAATTGTAGTTAACAATAACAATTTTAGGCTGCAGTAGCAGTAAAGAAATGTTACAGTTACAGCATGGTAAAGCAGAGCTACCAGAGACCAAACCATAGCAACAAAGTTATGGTGGTTTTTTATGTATTTTTTATTTCATTTTTTATTTATTTTTTTCTTTTTCAGCAACATGCTTGCCTGCCACCATGCCCCCATCACAGTACCATCATCAATTGTTGATGGCTACAGGGCAGGATTTGACAACAGTATATGGCACACAATCTCACAAGCCTGTTCTACAACTTGCTTCTTTCTCAGGGGTAACTCATCATCTCCAGCCTTTGGCGAGCTGACAGATTACTATTTGTTCTACCTAAAGAGTAAGTCCCCTAAAGAGGCCTTATTAAAGATGTGGGGAGAAGAGTTAACCAGCGAGGAGAGCGTGTATGAAGTCTTCACTAACTACATCACGTCACAGCCCAATCAGAGTGGACACAAGGTATACTGAAAGAGATTCCAGGTTCTTTCCCTGTATAGTACATATTAGCATAGAGTTTAGTCTAGATAAACTACATAAATTAGCACTGAATTTCTACAGTGTGTGCTTACCCTGCACACTTTCCTTATACTTGTATGTATCAGTGGTTTTCCATATGTAGTAAATCATTGGAAATGTAGTAAGAGCTAAATGTCTTTTGTCACATTCTTCCAGGTGAGGTGTCTGCCATGGAACGATGACCCTCTGGCTCCAGAAACGAACATGCTTAAGGAGGAACTGGAGAAGGTGAATCGCAGAGGTGTCCTTACCATCAACTCTCAGCCCAACATTAATGGCAAGCCTTCTTCAGACCCCATTGTGGGCTGGGGCCCTCCAGGAGGATACGTCTTCCAAAAGGTAGGAGACTTATTTTGCTTTGGGGAATTTCTCTGCTTTCACCAGCTTTGCCTAATAGCCCTCATTACTCTTCAGGAAAAAAAAATATTTTAAAAAAGTTACCAGGCTATTTGATATGCTTTTGTAACTGGATTTGCTGGGGTTTTTTTTGGAGATAGAACCCACAACAATGAGTAATGAGGTTTAGTCAGACAATTTATATTGTATAGCATCATTTTTTCAGAAATGGGTGAACAAGAGGTCAAATACAATATAGTGAAAATTTTTTTTTTTTTTTGGCAGGCATACCTGGAATTTTTCACATCAAGTGAAAATGTAAGCGCACTTCTAAAAGTGTTGAAGAAATATGAACCCCGTGTGAACTATCACATTGTCAACGTGCAGGTAAGATACACCTGAACCATTCAGTCCGTATTAACATTAAACTTTCCCTGTTTGTGTGATCTTACTCTTTACATAATTTTTACTTCTGTTGTTACTTCTGTTCAGGGCAAGAACATAACAAATGCCCATGATATGCAACCCAATGCTGTAACTTGGGGAATTTTCCCAGGCAGAGAGATTATTCAACCAACGGTGGTGGATCCAGTCAGCTTTATGTACTGGAAGGTAAGGAAATATCTAGTGACATGAGTGTACATTGTGAAATGAAGACTGAATATTCTAGTCAATTCTAATGTACACAGTAAAAAAAATGTCTTACCTGAATGTCTGTTACACGCAATTATAAGCTTCAAATGTCGGCATAGTGCTAACATAATACTGCAGATCCCATAAAGGAAATAAGAATTATTGCAGTGATAGAAATTGGCTAAAATGTTTCAGATTTAAACACTGCCATGTAATCACATGCTCACAGTTTGACTATATTCCACTTCACAAAAGTTCATAGAACTGCCCCAGCTACTACTGACTGCAGACTGCAGGAATGGGGAGCTGGGCATCACAGCCTTAAAAAATTTGCCCAAATGACCAACAAATCAAGGGGCATTTCACTACAGGTAAATTGTCACAATGCATTTGACACAGAATCAGAGATACTGTGAATCTACAACTTTGGGCTTGATATAAATCAGCCCATCTTGGCCAGTCCTTATTTTTCTCACTGCTGTTTGGTGGTGCTGCTGTTCTTGGGTCCTGAAAAGTCCATAATGATTAGCTTCTAGTCGCTTGTTAACAGCAAGTTAGACAATTGGGATGCCTTTTTTCTTTGAAATAGAGGGAGAGCTTAGCCCTACTAGCCCATTTTTACTAGCTGCTCCTGTATATACCTTTTAACCCAGTTCTTCAATGGTCAGTACCCTCACAGAATCACCACTGAGCAGGTACTATTTGGATGGTGGCTCATTCTCAGCACTGCAGTGACACTGACATGGTGGCGGCGTATTAGTGTGTGTTGTGCTGGTACAAGTGGATCACATACATTAGTGCTGCTGGAGTTTTCAACACTGTGTCCACTTACTGCCCACTCTCACTGTCCAGAGAAGAGCCCAGTGATCTTCAAATCCAGACTGTGAATCCAGTTTCTGGTTCTGGATTTTAAAATCATTAATATTTAAATGGTAGTGTCATACCTACCAGTGACTGAAGATCCAGGACCAGAGATTGGATTCAAGGTCTGTATTCAAAGACCCCTAATTTAGTTCTTCATCGGTGGTCAGTTTCTGGCCACAGGATGCTACTAACTGGATATTTTTGGCAGTTGTTCTCAGCTCGGCAGTGACATTAGTAATTTAAACTCCAGCAATGGGGTGAACAAAGGTAACAAGTTAAGCAGAGAAACAGGTGGACTACAGTCTGTAATTGCAGAACTCTGTGGTAAGTAGGCCGCAATTAAATGGACAACAATGAGTGTAGCCACAAAGTAGGAATTCCTAATAAAAGTACACACACACCTTTACATGTTCACATTCTGCTTCTAAGCCCTCTTATCTTTATTATCCAGCTTCCAAGGACAGGCTGGTTGCTGCTGTTAAGATAATTTGAAAGGCAAATCGCTTGAGCTTGGATTTTTTATTTATTTATTTATTTTTTCCTTTCCTTTCTGCAGGACGAGGCATTTGCACTGTGGATCGAGCAGTGGGGAAAGCTGTATGAGGAAGAGTCACCTTCACGAATGATTATTCAGTACATCCACGACAACTATTTCCTGGTCAACCTAGTGGACAACGACTTCCCCCTAAACAACTGCTTATGGCAGGTCATCGATGACATGTTTGAACTGCTGGATGCACCTCCAGAACCTCTGGATTAAAGAGAACACACAACAACTTTGAAACACACATAACCCACTGCTGCTTCATTTTAGGATTCCATAAACACTTTCACAGATGTAGTTGAGTTGTTACATACTGACATACTGAGTGATTTTCAAACCAATATTTAGAATGAAAAGTAAATTATCATTAATGTCAATACAGAGGACTATTTTGCAACACAATCTTGTACAAGCGAACTGTTATGGCTTGAACCCATAGAACATTAGTATACAGATATCATGCAAAATGATTTGCCTAAAACTTTGGTGGTACTTACATTTCTGGGAATGACTTTAACTGTGTTTTTATGTACCTTTTTTAAGCTAATGGTTTTTAAGCTATTTATAAACAGTATTTTGGCTGTTGCACATGTCCGAAGTTCGAGGCGTGTGTGTGTGTGTGTGTGTGTGTGTGTGTGGTTTTGGGGGAGTTTTCTGCTTTTATCTTACCAGCTGGCCATCTTAAACAAACATAATCGGACAATACAGCAACCTTCCAAGTCAGAAGCTAACGCACAAATATTTACTGGTGGAGTCATCCAAGGCCAAAGATGGTGACGTAGATTTTGATTACTATTGTAATCTAATGAAAGTTGTTGTTTTTTAATGCCTTGGGTAATTTTTTTCTTTTCCTTTTTTTCTTTTCTTTCTACAGAGACATTCTTAATTTTTTCCCCTCCAGATTGCCTGTTTTCCTGTGTATTGCTGGTAAAAGGAACACAATAAAACCTTTTTTTTTATTTTGGATTCACTTTTCAATGTGATTCCATGTATTGTTATACCATTATATAATTCATAATTCAGCCAAGTTCACATTGCACATAGCACATTGCTACAGGTTATCGTAAAAGAATAAGATTAAGGTTGAAACTTTGCCCAAAGCCCAAGCCTAAAGGACTGTGCATGTTCTCATCAGCAGATGTTACATTGAGGTCTTACGAGGCATGAAGGTGCCTCTTGGTCGCTGATGATGAAATCTCGTGTCGAAACATGATATCAGTTGGAAGGAGGCCAGCCAGTAATCCCCACGTGCAGCCAAGCACACTACAGCCTTTACCTGAACTACCATGTGCATGAATGTTCCAACAGAAACTCAAGAACAGCTGAGTTCATATATATATATTTGACTTTTTGCATGTAACACAATCGCTCGAGTAATGCTAATGGCTTTTGCAATGAATTAATTGCAATTGTTCAAAAGGTCCAGACAATTAAAATCGACTTAAAAACACTAGTAAAATGATATGAGTGTGTTCATCAGGCTGTGTTTATTACTGTAAGAGAGACCAGATGTGCATGTAAATTACCAAGTAATCATCAAGTAATCAAGTTTAATCGAATAATCATGACCATATTAATCATGACCATAATAAAATGACCAGCTGATCCAAACACTTATTACACAATTCTTTGACTAAAGAATAACTCGGGCAGTTTCTGTCATAGCCCATGTAGTTACTGAATAATAAGCCCTAGGATATAAGCCTGGGATTTTAAGGCATTAACTTGAGTATAAAACTTTTGCTTTCTTGTAACACTGACGCGATTTGAGGCTTACATTTGTCACTCCAAATCTGTACATCACTCGTCTTCAGGGAAGCAGACAAAACAAAGCACATCAGTTAAGTTTTTGAAAACTTTGTGTAGTTGTTGTGTCTGTGAGGAGCAAGTTCCAGAGAAGTCAGTCAAGCTGTTTACATGTCTGTAATGAGGCATTCACATCAGTAAATAGATAGTAGTAGCTTAAACTTTTGACACCTCAGGGTGGGAACACTGTTGGCTGGGTTTCCAATAGTGTTCTAGGTAAAGTAGTGCTGTGGTTAACCTATAAGACTGTACAGTACTTATAGTAGGCCCTCAGAGTCAGTCTCTTAGTGGAGAGCAGTTTATAACAGTAGATTAGCTTCTGACAGCACTGGTTAGGAATGTCCAGTGTTACGTAACCAACCCCATTGACCTGCCGACTGCAAATGTTGCCACGTTTCTGGGTTTAAGGGCGGCAATATGGGGGGAAACATAATATCATGATCCTCAAAGACATTTTAACAGTACATTAAAGGTCTGTGTATTACTGTATTTAGTTTTCTGGATTTTTGAACAAGTTGGAATGGACAAAATGCTCCAGCAAAACAGTAGTGCCACATTTTAAAAAAAGTATGAAAAATGGCATAAAGGGCAGACATCAAATCAGCTACTTATTTCTATGTAGTTGCTATATGTTGGTGGTGGTTGTTGTTGTTCACGGAATCTCTGTAATTGGTCAAAGTCTTTTAAAATGATATATGCAGTTGTTCAGTGTTCTAGAAGTACTGGCAATATCTATGATACACCCAGAAAGTAATATCAAAACATAATTTAGCAAGATACGGATTGCCCAATCTTTTTCACTCCTGAGCAAAGCCAAGTATTTATCAACACTTGTCCTATGGGGTTGGGCTGACCGGGCAGATTGCTCTGTTTGGGGAGAACATTGGCAGAGAGAGAATACATGTCAGGTCAATGCTCAGAACTAGGACTTGGCTTGGCTGTTATTAAATAACTTTAAACAAGTATCCAGCTAAATCCATTTGGATCAGCTCTTTGACAGCATAGTTTAAAATATCGTAAGTATCATCCTTCTTTAATTGACTTCACTTCTCTGCACTGCATTGCTACACAGTATATGCAAATCTGTTTGGGTTTGTAACTAATCGCATGGCTTGTCAGAACATCACCCTTGGGAACTGATTGCTTGCCAACCACTATAGAAATGTTTTTTGTCAGTTGATGTGCTACAGCAAAAAATGTGGCTACTTTACTTATTGCTGTATGCTAAAGCTTGCATACATATAAATACATATATAAGTAAACATGGGTCAAGTACGCTTACCATTACATGTATCATATTGATATCTCATGCTTTAAAGGAGATATCAATATTAAAAGACAAAAATGACAGTGGCATATTTTCTTTCCGTTGAGCAAAATATACCAATAAAGAAAGATATGGTGATCATTAAGAAGAAAAAGAAAGAACTATTATTATGGCAAAAGTCAACAAACAGTCAGTACAGTATTGAAGTGTTGAAAACGATTCCAGGGCTGGTTAATGCTTCTTTCTTTATATCATTACTGATTATAGTGAAAAAAATCTATTCTGGCTTTAATTAGAGTTTTAAAATGTGACAGCTACATGTTCTCTCAAAGCTCTTTTTCAACTTGCCTATGTAATTTTTTTACAATCAGAAATTTGCAAAATAGTGGGAGGGTCATGTCATCTCCAACATTTCCTAAATAGCTGTATTTACTCCAAACTTCTGAAATCTTTAATCACTGTACCATTTATTAGTAAATACAATAGCTCAATATGTGCTTTATTTAAACTTTTTTTTTTAGTATTTGGAATGTTCCCCTTTCACCCCTGAGACAGTAAACCCGAGCTGGCATGAGTTTCTCCACTGTACGTGTCATACGGTTCCATTACTACTCAGGAAAGTGTCATAGAGATATGAATTACTGCTAATGACACAGAGAACCTTACATAAACGCAGCCCCACGTTTCATTAGGCAACCCCAAAGCAGACGCAAGAGGTTATTTATAGATATAATACAAGCCCCCAGACACGTTTAGCCAGGCCTTGACCATGAGGAAACCCCTTAAGAGCCATTTATGTATCTGAGCTTTCTGAAGGCTGGGGGCTGCTTGGCCATGAAAGATTCAGCCGAAGCTTGCACTCTAGGTTTCTTGTCATAAGGACAGGGAGTTCTTCTTGGAAGGAATGAAAGTGAGTCCTGTAAGGACGTGTAGGATTTAATATAGCTGCCACTTGTTTTATTTAAAGGGTAGAGTTTGCAGTTGTATCTTTTGCAGTGATATTAAGGGTTAAAGTTTAAACAGCTCTGTAGCTTCCAGGAGGTTTAATGAGAGTGTCAAGTTAACCGCAGTCCAGAATGTTCTGCCACTCTTGGCCAGTCAGTCACATGGAGTAGGAGCGAGTTGGAGCTCTGCTGGGCAGGAAGCCTAAGACCAAGGCCCGCTGCCACCATAAACGAAAAGCCTGCCGTTAAAACACAGTGAAAGCACACATAACTAAAACAGTCCTGATAAAAACTATAGTTCATTTTTACATATTTTATTCTATCTAGGTATTCTGTCAACTTATTTGCATTAGTATCACTGCTTCTGAAATATGAGGCATTCTGCATATATTAATTAAAATTTCATTGTTGATGCTATTTAATTCTTTCACTTGCAACTCTCTCATTTTAGCTCTGTTCAGATCCACAACTCTGTGCATCTAAAAATTTCTTAAAGCTACACTATGTAAGTTTTGCAGATTTGAAAATGCATGCAATGTGTGGAAAAACGTTTTATAACATGGGATGTGCTTCGAAACCCTTCCCTGAGAGGGTGAATTTGATGATTGTGAGCACATTAAAAGAGAATTCAAAAAGAACGTAGAAAAAAAACTTCATAAAGAACATGTCTTCCTAGGATGTAAGTGAATGATATTATTGTCATTTTATCTTCATCAGTGTAATGTTGATTTTGAGACCTAAACATCATACCAGACCTTTTTTGAGCCTGTGCATGTAACATTAATACATAAAGATGTATGATGTGGTCCAAAAAACGTATGCAATATCTGACTCGACACCTCTGTTAGTGTGTTTTTTGGACTCTGTAATTCTACTCCTTTCGATTTATACAAGAGCATCTTACATAGTACATCTTTTTTTTTTTTAATAAACACAGAGTCCACCCTTACTGCAGCTTAACATTTGGCTGTAGTCTTCTCTTTTGAAACAGAGTTGATAAATATTTCATAAAAATTTGGAAAACCAATGAGACTAATCAATCTGTACTGTACATGTAGGCTAAAGTACATCAAGCTATCAATGCTTCCTTAATTGTCAGGTAGTATCATGATGTAACAGGTCATGTTTTGCAAGAAAAAGCTAAAAAGGTGTAGTGTTTACCTTCAACAGCAGGGATCTATTGAGGCTGGCAGTGTAGGCAGCAACCACTTTGTTCCTGATGCGCCTCTTTCTCCAGGTGAGCCATGCTCTCTGTAGCACTTTATGTTCATGCTGGAGAAACAAAAGAACATGTAGGATTTGCCTCAGCGACCCTTGCGCTGATTTTATTTCTGTGGCCCATGATTATGAACAGACAATGTAAGGTAGGATATTCTTAATTCATCCACTGTCAGGTCACAGCTTTGTCACATCAACTAAAAAAACTAATTAAAAACTGAGCACAAAAATTTTTATTCAATCCAGTTAATTCTGACTTATTAAGCTTTGTAATAAAACATGCAAGTGGTAAGTGTCTTTTTAGCACTGACAATAGCCACAATATGCTCAGAAAAGCATATTGTGGTGTACTGTGACATCATTTATAATGATATGATAATGTCAAATTGCCCAACCTTACTAATAAAGCTGCTGTGCCAACTCATGGGCCGATTAAGGGCTGCATGACAAGAGCAAAGTACTAGTGTTGAGACTGTACTGCTACATATTGCGATTATAATGCACCTAAGATAAAAATGCACTGAATCAATAATGTGCATTTTGACCATAATTAACTAATTTATCTTTGTTATATTTGTTATATATTATGTTATATTATTGGTCAAGCATTGGTCAAGATGGTCACAACACAGCAAAAAAAAACAAAACAAAAAACAAACAATGAGTAATTGCAAAGGCCAATAACAATTAAGAAACATACAGCCCTAATTTGGACTTGTGGCAATGACTGAAATGATAATAATATCAACAATAATGACTGAAAAAGATTATTTCCTTCTTTATAATAGTAATAGAGATAGAAGTCACTTGTTGTGAGTAGAGTAGCGAGACAGCAGTCTGGCTCTTCCAGGAGGCCCAGTGCAGACAAGTTAGTTCCCTCTGTTCTCTCCGCTCCACTGCTCTATAACGCCAGCGTCTCAGCCACTTAGCCCTGTCACAGTACAGACACAGTACAGTGCACACCAACATAGGCAAATGAGCAGAAACTTCCACTTTCCACCAAACTTCACGCTATCAAAATAAGGAGTCTGCAGTATCTTACCGATGAGATAAACTGGAGCAAATGGCTAATTCTGGGTCATTAACTTTTTTCCCTTATGCCCAGTTTGGCATTAAAAGGCTGGCGAATGCTGCCCAAGCTACGGCTGGGTGCGTTTAATGTTCTGCCAGCAAGCAGATATGCCAAGTACAAGAATTAAGTAGCAATAAAAAAAAAGAAAGTAAGATGTGCTTGGATAGAGCAGCAGCATCTGAAAACATTACAAACAGGAAGCCCTTAACAGTGCCTAGCCTAGCAACTTCAGTTTGCCTGGATTGGAGTGTAAACTTTGACAGTCCTCATTAACTGAATATAAATGCCTTTTAGACACTGGGCTATGATTTCATTGAGAAAAAAAATGTAAAAATTTAGACTTAATTGCCCAGTAGCAGATCCTCCCCACTCCTGTCAGGAGAAATGTTTGGCCAGATTTCTGTCTAGACAGTTTCCTCCAATTACCCATATTATGAAGAGCTGATCTGACAGGTGATTACACAAACACTGCATGTGTGCATCTGTGTGCACAAGGGACATTATGTGCAATAAAAAAGACATAACATATACTGTAACTCAGATTGACTAGTACACTGTTGGCTCACTTTGTGTGAAATATTCTGACTCTGTTGAGCTGCTAGCGAGCAATGATGGGGGAAAGGGGATTGGTGTGACCTATCTAAAAAACAGCCATGGCGACATATAATGGACATCACAACTGTAGCTTTCTTGATATCAAAAATAATGTACAACAGCCACAATAAAAATAGCATTTAAACATAATAAAAGCTTTTTCATGTATGTTGACTTTCTCACTGACCTACAAAGAATCTGATTCAATTCCAGTTTTGTAAATCATATATTTTTCCATTAAAATATATACCATATTACTAAGGGAACTTCGAAAAAAAAATCTAAACACATTAAACCAGTTGTATTGTAGGATAGTTATATTGTAGTTTGCATTAGATCACATTACAACAGCTTTTATTTGTCAGCACGGCTGTGAATATCATTTTAGAGAAGAAACTACCTCCATCTTGTCTGAAGCAGCCTCTCTGACTGTCTTCTCTGCACTTCCTGAACCCAAAGAGAAAAAAACTTCTCACTAAGGTGTAGATCACGCTGCTTCTGGGCCATTATCTGTTAGGAGAAAGGTGATGAAAGTGGAGAAGGAGAAGAAGGAGGAAGCCAATGAAACATTGCTGCTCTGGAGGTTTTAACACTAGGCCTTAGAATTTTGTGACAGAGATTTTCCTCTGACACCTTTGCACAAGAACCTCTGAAGTAACTACTATGTGTGCTACAACCTAACGAAACCTGAAAATTATGAAAAACCCCTGGTACCTCACGGTGCCATGCTTGGAACACAGCCTTTAGAAGCCTTTCTCTGTCTGCCTCCCTCACCCGCCGTGCAAGGGACTGCACAGCCTTATGGGATGCTGCAGCCCACCTCCAAGTTCTTAAAGCTGATTGGATTTGAAATTGCTGTAGCTGCACCTCAGCAGCCTGACACTTCTGCTTTGTCTCCACAGCAGCAGCCCTCCATGCGCAGAACGACCTGGATGAAAATCATGACTCAGAGTCAAAACAGCACTGATTTACAGCGACTGCTGTGAACACAGTTTTCTTCTTACCCTAAATGTAGTTGATCAGCCAAGTCATGCTTGGTATCTAAAGATTGCTTCTTTAGGTTTGCGCTGGAACTACAAGGCTAATGCAGCTAACAAGAAACGGAAGCTAATACCTTAAACAAGGTATATGCCAGTACATCTTAATAGTCACATTTACAAAATCAATAATTAATCATAATTAAATTAATAAGTAGTCTTATATTAACCTGCTTATGTGGTGTCAAAATCATTAATTTATCTTTTAAGCTGCTTATCTGTGCTGGAGGCAGTCCTAGCGTATATTGAGTGGAAGGCGGGAAACACCCTGGACAGGTCGACAGTCACAGGGCAGACATACACATACACACTTAGGGGCAAATTGGTGTCTCCACACACAAAAGATCCTCGTCCCCCAGCCAGGGAATCGAACCCAAGCTCTTCTTGCTGTGAGGCAACAGCGCTACCCAATGTTACTGGTATCGTTAAGTATCAACAATAGCTAAGTAACTTAAGTAACTATATCTCCTTTTTCTATGGTTTAATAAGCTGGAACAAAGAAGAAAGAATCAGCAGTGCCACATTCAAAAAATACCGCAGTGATAATAATGCAATGATTTTTATTCAACATTTTACACAATGTGCTGCACTAAATCTGAACTATGACTAAGACTAATTATGCCCTCTTTGTAATGAAACATGCATACAATGTTCTAAAAGTACCAATGATATCCACAATATACTCAGAAAAGCATTTTGTGACATAATTTATCACGATGAATATTGTCATATTGACTTTGCAAACCCCTAGAATCAGCCCATTCTGCTGATAAAGTTCAACAAACAGCACTAGGAGCTCAACCAACTCACAAGAGCTGAAGCTCTGCAGCAGTACTGTGTGTGAGCGCTTGTGTGCTGGAGCTCGAGGCTCTGCTTCAGCTCATAGTTCTGAGCATTAAAATGAGCAAACAAAGTCCTGGAGCAAACACGAGCTCTAATGCGAAAGACAACATTAGTATCTACTAACTTGACACATTTTTTTAATGTGTCATTAAATTTGTATAACTTGTATGAAAAGGCCTTAAGGTTTTGTTGCCCCCACTGCTGCAAATGTAGACTCGCATATGGAAAGATGGACATATGGGTTTATATATTTGAAATACGTGTCAAATACCATGCACTTTATGCAGAAATACATTTAAAACACTAAAATGTATTTCAAAATATAGTCCCATATTAACCAAATATATTTTAAAATGCATTTATATTAAAATGTATGGGGTAAAATTAAATGTGTGTAAATAATTTATCAAAGACATTTGAAAATGTATGAAAATAGCCAAAATACTTGTCTACTTTGCTTTACTGTTTGGAATAACTTTTCAAGTATTAGCAAATAAACCTTTAACATGGCAAAAGCAAGGTAGGTAGGTATTGATTTACTGTGAAAATGCAGTTTGAAGATTTGATATCTTGTTTATTTAATTTGACATGCATTTTGTGTGAGCGCTCTTACCAAATACACACAATGGTTAAAGCAAAGTACAATGCAAATAACAAATAAGTCATACCATTCATTCAGTTCATGTTCATTTAGTATGCAAATTATATATATCTATATATCTCTATATATATATATATATATATATATATATATATATATATATACACTTCATATGAGCTGTTGAAGATATTCTAAATTATATCTGTAATATAGCCATAGTTTTAAATAATTAAAATAAACAAGCAATGCTCATTGATGAAGTGCTTAGCAAATGATTTTATTATTCAATTGTCAGTGGTTCACTGTCTCCCAGTGCAAAAAAAAATCATTAAACATTACATTATTCAAAACATTACATTATGCAAAACATTATGATTTCACCTAGGAGTTTCATCTACTGTACTAAAGGCCAATAAGTGCTATAAAGAGGCTCTTTTCAGGAACACTGTATTTACACTAAAGTTTCAAGGACACAATATCACTGCTAAGAGCTGATAGACTGATAAGGGCTTGGTTGTTAAACATTACCTGCAGCCTGCACTACTTATGCATACTGAACAATTGTGAATGTGAGGGTGGCCTATATAGTGTAGTGCTTACCTGTGTAAAAGACCTTTTTGGCTGTTGAAACAGGCCACCTGATGCTGTCGGTATGCTTTAACCCATTGATGGAATAACATACACACTCGCCTGCCTTCCAACCAGAGACGCACAGCTTCTTCCATCTGCCTGCAGCCTTTATGCTCTGAAACAGAGAGAAACAGTGTTATACTCATTACATTACAAATGCCTGTGAAAGCAAAGCACTGATTTGCCATTTTAATAGGAGCATCTACACTCACTGAGCACTTTATTAGGAACACCTACTTATTCATGCGATTATCTAATCAGCCAATTGTGTGGCAGCAGTGCATGAAATCATGCAGATAAGGATCAGCAGCTTCAGGTAATGTTCACATCAACCATCCGAATGGGGAAAAATGTGATCTTAGTGATTTTGACCATGATATGAATGTTTGTGCTAGATGAGCTCGTTTGAGTATTTCTATCTCCTGGGATTTTCATGGACAACAGTCTCTAAAGTTCACTCAGAATGGTGCAATAAAGAAAAAACATCCAGTGAGCAGCAGTTCTGTGGATGGAAACGCCTTGTTGATGCCAAAACTGGTTTGAGCTGACAGAAAGAATACAGTAACACAACCACTTTGTATAATTGCTGTGACAATGGTGTGGGAAATCTCACTCTGCACTTTAGGCTTGTTATTTCCAGTCAGTCATTGCTTGAATGCCACAGCCTATTAGAGTGTTGTTGCTGACCATGTGCATCCCTTCATGGCCACAATTAATCATCTTCTAATGGCTACTTTCAGCATGATAATGCTCCATGTCACAAGGCAAAAGCCATCTCAAGCTGGTTTCATGAACATGACAATGAGTTTGGTGCTCTTCAGTGGCCTTCCCAGTCACTGGCTCTAAATCCAATAGAACACCTTTGGGATGTGGAACAGGAGATTTGTAGCATGAGAGTGTAGCTGCCTGAAAAATCTGCAGGAATTGCGAGATGCAATCATGTCAACACGGATCTCAACCTCAAAGGAATGTTTCCAACATCTTGTGAAATCCATGCAATGAAGAATGGAGGCTGTTTTGAGAGCAAAGGGAGGCCCTAGCCAGTATTAACACTGTGTTCCTAATAAAGTGCTGGGTGGACAGGAATTTGTGCCAAATTGAAAAGCAGTCACTACAGTGGAAAAACCTGACCTGTAAAGCACACATGACATTGCTTTTCCATAGTGGCATGCAGAATATGTGCCAAAGTAAAAAAACAAAACCTTACCTTACTTCACTAAAAGCCAATACATGAGCAGTACTTTAAACAGATTTGCCTCATTGAAATGCAATTGTAACGATCAAAACAGTGAAATATAATACACATGACATTATTTTTACATAGGTGACATGCTAAAAAAAACAAAAAGCAAAAGATCCATTATACTGGTTTAAGATTGTTTGAAGTACTGCAAGGTGGAAGGCAATAGATGTGCCTTCAGTACATTTCAAGGTGAATTGTATTCAGCTCTGAAATGAATTCAGAGAGGTCAAGCAAAGTGAAAACAATGTAACAGAGGTTTTGTTTTTCATTTTGGCATGTATTCTGCATGTTACTATGGAAACGTGGTGTCATGTGTGCATTACTTCATGTTTTTTCACTGCAGTGACACTTTGTACCTATGCTTACTGGACTTTTTTATCAGCTACACCTTCCATGACAATTTAAAGGAAAACCAACATTAAGTGTCTAAGTAAGATGTTGGGCCATCACGAGTCATTCTCATCCTTAGTGACCCCTCGTGGTTTATCATAGGATGATTTGCAGTGCCCCTTTCCTCTATGTAGACAAGTGGAAAAATGCCCATCACAGCTTAAAAGAGCCATAGGACGTCCTCACTATAGGGTCCAATCATTCAGACCTGTACTGTTCTCTTGGTGTACATCACACATGACCTCACCCCCTTGTGAGGAATATGGTGAAGTATGACTCATCAGACCAGATCACTTTTTTCCACATCCCTGTAAACTATTGCCTGTATTTGTGGATGGACTGCTTTTATTTGTACAACCTGATCACTGTCACTTGACTGAACAGTTTTTCTTACTCGTCGTCACTGAATGTGCACTTTTGACCGCAGTTTCCAGATCTATTTTCTGATTTCCATATATTTAAATGCACATATCATTTACTTACTGGTCCTGTTGAAACACTAAGCAGTTGAGCAGTTATTCTGACTGAAGCTCCTGACATCTGCTCCCCAATAATGGACCCCCTTTCAAAGTCATTTAGATCTTTTCCTCTTGCCATCCAAAACTGAGGTCAACTGGGTCTGCTCAGCATTTTTATACTTTTACAGAATGGCAGGATGTTAACTGCTTAATTCTATCATGCAGAACACTTATCTGCAAGCATCTGCAGTTCTTATGTTTCTCCACTCATTTTTTCATGGAGAAAGCAGTGAGACAGAACCTTGTATTAAGAGAATATGCTGGCTTGTCTAAGCATGCCAAAGTCTTTTCTAGGTTCATGTCCGATATTGCAAAGACAAGGGAAATCTAAGCCTCTGTAGGGGTTTATGCTAGTTGTCTAAAGGCCAATTCTATCACAGATCAGTGGAAAATGACGTGAACCTGAGCAGGGCCTGTATTCTAAATCTAGATCAGTTACCACAGGCTAATAGCCGTGGTGAACAGTAACCCTACTCTGAAAGTCTTTGTGTATGCAGCCTTGGGCTTCAGTCGTTCTAAATGAAAAGGGTACAGTGTAGCAGTGATCTTACTTATTTTAACACTAGCAGTATCTTTCATAGCAACAGCTGTGCAGAACCACATCAGCTAGAACGCTGCTTGCTATTACTGTACTGTTTAAATCGGTATGTCAGTGTAATGCCTGTACTTACGGAGAATTATGACAAGTAACTATGACTACTACTGGTTTTACCTTTAGCCCATGATGACCAAGATGTTAGAATTAGCCGTGCTGCTTCTTTCTGCCTCTGAGCATGAAACTGGTTGGCTGTTCTAAGTGCATCTCTCTGCTGTGTCCAACACACATAACACTGCAAAAGAAAACATGCAGTATGACTTACACAACCACAACACCTCATATTTACAGAGTACAACAGTCTTTACTTCTTCAGCCTTCCTTTAATGGCATTTTCAAATTGGGTAAACTGGTACTTGTTTATCTTATCACCGGCAATGAAGTCAAGTTCAAGACCCGTTCAGAGTCCACTGCAATATATTTCACATCATAATGTGTCATCATTTATAGATGACCTAATGGTGAATTCACAGGCATAGATCAAGGCTTTGCTTGGGTTACATTGTATGTTAAAGTTTGAAATATTTGTCTGACCCTCATGCTCCGGGTTCGGACGATATTTCCCAGATATGTGTCGGACTCAGGTTGGGTTTAAATTTAAGCTTAAAATGGTTTTTAATCCGGCATGCTGGAGTCACAAACTTGTGAATTTTCCGAGATACATGAGGTCCACGCCTGTGAGATAATGGATGTGTGGAAAATGAAGCTGCATATTATGGAATGATTATCCAGACTAATACACTTTAGCACTACTCGATGAATAAATTTGCAAAACAGTGTGGCCAACATTTCATTTATTGTATAGTAATATTTTCTAAATATTTTATATAATCTGCCCTGTGATGGACTGGCGACCTGTCCAGGATGTATCCTGCCTTCCGCCCAATGACAGCTGGGATAGAGAAAAGAAAACTCTGCTTATGTACAGTGTAGCTGTGGCTAACAACAGTTGAAAAATAAAGCACCATGACTTGTGTGAAAGCTGTGTGTCTTTTAATAGCTGTGATCGCTACAATATATTATATTTCTTCATAATCTAATACTGGCTGTTATTGTTGCTATGCTGGACTTTATCTAGCACTATCCTGTCAGGTTTTATTCAGCACTTTGGGTGATGATGGGCCAATTTGTGCCAGTTTTGGACAAAATTTTGTTTTCCTCCTGTCAGTTTCAGGCTTGAAAGTTGTATGGGCTAGTGTCAGGTTCAGACTCAAAACATGATAATGTGATTCAGGTTAGGTGAGCTTCAAGGTGCTTTCATCTTTGGACTTTTCAGTTTGGTCCGACCAAAACAGCAGGTGTGAAAGGTGCCTCGAACCACGGTCTGGACCAAAGGACCAATATTTGGTCTGACCAAAAGAGGTTGTACCAGATGGGATCAAACTAAACCATGGTCTGGTTCATTTGCAGTATGAAAACATTGAATGGTTTGGACTTTTAGACCATAAAACTTGGAGAAGTTTGGAGAAGTAGCACATGGGGGGGAGGAGGAGACAAAATATTAAACTGTAATTTGCTCCAGTGAAAAACCAATGACGATATAACTTTTGCATGACGAGGATGTTTATTTGGCGAATTCGAACTAGTCTCAAGTACTTCACTTGAATTTGGTGCTACTGGTAGTAATTCCAACAATATTAATAGTACAACGGCAATGAAATTAATCTATTCATTGATTTTTCTTCATTCAGACGGAAAAGGCTACCTGTTGAATTGACAACACAATGATGCAAAAGCTAAATTGCAATGTGAAACCAAAACTAACCAGATCAAACGCATACAATGTAACAAAAACGCAAACCTTGGATCAGACTTTCAGGTATGAAAATGCCCATTAGGCAGAAAGTTCTCAGACTAAATTCGAGTTTGGTCAGAAATTTCAGGCCTGTTTAAAGCTCTACTTTTAAACTGAATCTACACAATTTTCCTTTTACCCTAAATGTAGTAGATTAGCCAAGATGCTTGGTGCCCAAAGTTTGCTTCTTCAGTTTTGCACTAGAGCTAAGAGGCTAATGTATTTAATAAGTAATGGAAGCGTGTAGCCCATCAGTTCGCATTGTCAACACTGCATGCTAAAATAGATAGATAGATGTTGTATCTATATCTATCTATATCTAATGAAGGTAACAAGTAATAGAAGCTTATACCCCATCAATTAGCACTGTAAATACTGCATGCTTAAATCAGTTGCCACAAACTTCTTTTGAGTTTTTAAATAATCTCAAATAGACTTTCTTATGTGGTTTATGACACTGTATAACTGCTGTTATCTATAAAATTGGACAAAAGTACATTGCATATTTGGAGCATTTCATGAAAGTATTTATTTAACTTTAAAAAGAAATTTAATTTGCCTCTCCACTGAAGAAGCATTTAGGTGAAAGTTTTCTCAGTGGTCAGGAAGCCAAGAGTTAAAAGTGCAAGGAGCAGGTACTGAATATAATGTGAGAATCTCAACCTTTTGCAGTAAAGCTGTGTTGATTGTCTTGGCTGTGCTGCGTTGTGTGGTGGCTGCTCTCCAGCACTTAAAGATTTGTGCTGTCAGTCTGCTGTGATGGAGATTGAGGCGGTCTTCAAGGACACACTGCTTGTTCTGGGTCTGAATCAGCACCCTCCTCCACAGGCTGAAGCAGGAGCCCATCATCCTGAGCTCAATACTGTACTGGAAGCAGGCCTCACTGTATCGCATTCTCTGGGCTGACACTGTGTGAATGTGCCAGGCCAGCAGCAGTCTGGGAAAAGAAGACCAGCTTGTAAATTGTAATATATATATTAGATAGTATATATGTTATATAGCATATAAGTCATCAAATTAGAGAATTATTATATATTTAAAAACAAGTGTCTTTCAAAAATATTCCTGAGAAATCTAATGTAAAATAGTAAGTGACAGACCTATGGGGTGTAATGTGCCATTAAAAATACATGTTCTGGACTCGGAGAACCTCTGTGCTGTCAGTGACAGCAAAGACATTTTCAGTTTTTAAAGTGGCAGCAAAAGTCCTATTATGTTTGCTGATTACTGTTGGACTGTTCCTACTAGGTAACGTTATTACACTTTGTATTTTAATGTAAATGTATGTTTTCTTGTGATTTTGTTGTTTTGTTTCATTCAAGTCATTTTTCAGGAGATATTTCTGAGGGTCAGATATAAGATAATCAACTCGCTTAAGAAAGGGGAAAGTCAAAGGAAAATGATTGAACAACTGGAGTTTCCAAAAATGATTAAAAACACAGAGAAAAAGAAACTCTATCAAGAGGCTACTGAGAAAAGGAAACAGACAAAAAAGAAAACAAAAAAATATTTGCACTTGAACACCGAAACTAGATATCTGAGATGAGGAGTACACTGTTAGAAACAATATACTGTGCAGGTACATTTTTCATTCATCAAGGTACAAAAAATGTAAATGTACCCTCAAAAGGTACAACAGTGGTTTTAAGGTCCAATTGTGTACCTTAAATAAGTCTTTCCCAGGTGAACAGTACATATTACTAAGGGTACTGAGATGGACTGCCCCAGTGACAGTTTCGTAACTTTTTTCGGGCTTTTTTATTAGACTGATGAATCTAAATTTGTAATTGGGATTACTTGGGTTGTGAGAAGCAGAAAATGCAACCAACTTCTAAGACTGAAGTTTAGAGTTGTGGAAGAATATCCCTGGAGATTTCTTTGAAAAACTGAAAGCAAGATTCCTGAAAAAGGGAGGAGTGGACACTAAACACTCAACATTTTACATTATATTTAGTTCTTGAGGCTTCTGTGTAACGTTCTGTTAAATATATGTTTTCTGCTTTTTCCCTGAAACTAAAAAAAATGGCATAATGGCTATTTTAACTGGAAATGAAATAAATTAAAGGGTGGTGAGTTCTGTAAGTTGTACTAATTCTACCTCCTTCTCTGTTTCTGTGCATGATGTTCTCTGCTCTTCATGCTCAGTCTGACCGCTCTAATCCAGTATACGAATGTATGGGTCAGCTTCAGTTTCTGGACGTTGTGTACTCGCTCTTTCTCCACTCTGCCTCGCAAGATGTGCTGTTGCCAAATGCGTAGAGCTATCCGTGCTGTCTCCCTTCTTTTCCTCTTCATGTCCAGTTCTCTTCTCCATTTCTGCAGGCTATGGGTCAGCACATGCTGGTCTCGATGTCTTGCAGCTCGCTGTAACCATGTAAACACTGTCCACTTGCTGATCAGTGTGCGAAGATGCTGCTTTTGGGAGTGATTGTGAAGGAAGCGTTGTTTCCACAGGGAGAAGGTGCTTTGCTGTAGCCTTTGAAATCTGAATTCTTGGAGCTCTTGTGAGATGCAGCGCAGCTTTCTGTTTTTCTCAGACACACAAAGCCACTTAGAAAAGCATCTGGGGAGACGAAGACAGAAACAGGCCAAAAGCATTCGTACCCTTCCACTTTTTAAAAAAATTTCCTCCAAACTAAGTTAAAACTTTAAAAAAAGTTTTTTTTATTTCGCATTTAAAAGAACATGAACATTATTTTTGTTTATGACTTAACATATTGTTTTAATAATAAAACAAATGAAATTAGCATGGACAAAAATCCTGGGACCCTTGGCCTGATATTTCATAGCATGGCCTTTGGAAACAAAATTGCAATCGAGCCGTTTCTGTATCTGTAAATGTGATTTACGCAAGTCTCAACTGGTAGTTTGGCCCACTTTTCTTATGTAAACTACTCCAGTGGATGTTTTGGGTCATTATCCTGTTGGAGGACCCATGACCCATGACTGCGACACAGCTTTCTGACACTGGGCTGTATGTTTCACTCCAAAACACCTTGACAATCTTCCTAATTTCAAAGTGCCTTGCACAGATTAAAGGCACCCAATGCCAACAAAGCAATACCAAAACTTTTGTGAGCATTTGAGAAATATCATGGAAGGAAGGCACGGTGTTGTTTTCTTTTTTTTTGGTGTAATTTACCAAAAAGCTCAGATTTTTTATTCATTTATTCAAAGGATGATATCCCAGAAAGACAGTGGCTTTCCAATATGGGATGCTGCCCACAGTCCCATGGGCTTTAAACTTTTTAATAATGTTGGCAACAGTGTTCACAGGAATTTCAAGATTTTTGGAGATCATCTTTTAGCCTTTACATTGACCATGTTTAGCTATGACCTTCTTTCTAATCTTCTTAAACAACTCTCTGCTTTTCCTTCTCTTTTCCATGTTTAGTGTGATGCATACAGTGAAACTAAACGGCAGAGTGGGTGCATTACTACATTTAAACTGACTGAGCGATTATATAATTGAAGACACAGGTAATACTAATTAGAAGAAACAGTTTACTTAATATTTTGTCACAATACAAGAATTTCTTATGATCTACATTATAAGCAACAAATCAGCTGTTTTCCTAGCTTTTTATTTTGTTCCACTGCAATCAAAAGTCATGAATGTATGAATGACAAAAATAGTTGCATGCCTTATGTTTGTGTATTACTTGGTGTGTCGCATTATAAGAAAAAAAAGGTTGTTTGTTGAAAAATGTGGACAGACTGTGTGAAATAAGGACAAAATTACTTGATAGAACATTTAGGTGAGTCTTGCCATTTATATATGGTAAATTATGAAATCATTTTTATGCCTATAAGACATATGAGCCACCACAGCTAATTAAGAGTGAAGCTATGGCAGCGTAATGGCTGTGGTCTGAAGTCCCAAAATAAGATCAGTATTTGACTACATTCTAGCCAAGTGGTAAACAGTGTGAAATTGATTACTCTGTGAATAGTTTGATAGTACAGACCTGCAGAGTAGAGCTCTCTGATAAAACTGTTGGGCTCTCTTTAAATTTTCCACTGCTTGCTGCCAGACGAGAACAGTTCTTCTCTTCAAGGCTCTTTCTCTCTCCTCTATGAACGCACACAGGTGGACGTGCATGCGACACCTGTCTAGGCCACACATTTACAGCACATTACAGCAACCTTATACACCACTTTTCTTAAAGCCATAGTTATGATGTACATTATCAAATGTACATCATTTTCCATTTTTGCCATAAATGTTCAACCAAATCAACCAAGACATTCTGCACTGGAGATAATGTACTGTAAGGCTAACGTTGCTAACAAGTGATAATAGGACTCTAATAGGACTGCGGCTATAGAATATTTTCCAATGTTTTATTGAATATTATCTCCAACATTTGTTAATGTGACTTGAAATACTACAAGCTAATTTAAAAACATCATTAATAAACAATTGCTGTCATAAATAATAGAATAAAATGCTATTGTGGGGGATTCCACCCAACCTGGCAACCCTGGAAACCCTTGGAAAGGTCAGTAAAGAGGAAATAGTGTCTTTTTAACACCTAAAACCACTTAAAACTGAAAACAGCTTTTGGTCAGCTGAACTTGTCAGATCCACACCTAACTCATCTGCTAAAGTCAGTACCAGAGTTCGGGTTTTTGTGACACTGTATCTTTTTCATTTAGTTCGGTTGGTTTTACACTGCAATGGCTAAAGAGTACCAAATTATACATACGTTCACTAAATGGTCAGACATTTAGCAGAGATACAAGCGCTCTTTTCCTCTCATATTTACCACCATTTGAGCCAAAGAGAGTCCTACTTTGCATTAAATTACAGAGATGATTGATGTCTACATCAAAACAATAATAATAGGACTTACTTGCTTCTTTATGATTGGATTGTTAATTTGAATTGAATAACCAATTAGGTCACTGATGCAATATGCTCTGCGATCCAAGAGCCAAAACTAAAGCCATTGTTTCGCTATTATTTCACTGCTCGTCGGTCGTTTTTAGCAGGAAGAACGATACAAGTTTCTGCCAAGTTAAAACAGGCAGATTATGCAGACAGTGCAGTGTTGAAAGCGTGCACTGATGCTGAATTCCCTTGTTTGGTGTAAACCATCAAAAAAATGCCAGCTGAACTAGAATTTGTTTGGAAGCGAACCAAGACCTGAGATTTACACCTGTCAAAACAAACTGGAAAGTCAAATTGAAAAACAAATTGTGAGAAGTCCGCTAGATCTGCAGCAGCAGGTGTGAAAGTGTCCATAGACACTTCTACATGACTAAGTTTTTAAGCCACTCAAAAAATGCCTTACCCAAGCATGTGTTAAACTGCATCTTAACGTCTGGTGCAGACTGTGTTCTGGATGGACGGCTTGTCAGCCATCAGGCTGTTGTTTACTCTTGGAAATAAAGGCAGTGGAGAGCAGTAGGAAAAGTATTTGGACTGCACTGAGCAATTAAACTCAACAATATTCACTCAAATTAGAGACCAAATACAGATATTTATGAACGGAGTCTTGACAGTCCAACCTCTGACTACTGCCAAAATATCACCACCGCTTTGACAGGAAAGCACCATTTGACTGACAAGAAGACTGAAAAAAGTCAAAATATAAGTCACTGTTTTCGTACGATGAGAAGGCAGATTATCTCACTCTCTTTAAATGAGTTGCTTCTGTGTGCTACTGGTTACTCGCAAGCATTTTACTTCACTAAACTGATAAAAACTGATGCACAGATGCGCATGTTTTCATAAAATGCCTACATAGAAAAACCAGCATATGTTGTGTTGTGGATGCTGGGATGCTGGTCAACCAGCATGACCATGTTGGGTGACCAGCTAAACCAGCACCAGACCAGCATAAACCAGCTTAGCCCAGCTTAGAACAGCATGGAATTCATCAACAGGGTGTGTAAAAGTACAAGTTATTCTAATTGCTTTTCCAATTTCAATACTTTAAAATACTTTAACAATCTAACTCATCAAATTTTATTAAATATTCACTGCAGCCCTATAGATCACTAATTAGCATTGTGCTAGCATGCACAAACCTGCACTACTTGCTTCAGACAGAGTTTTGTTGTTAAATAATTTCAAATAAACATGCTTATGTGGTTTCTAGCACTGTATGACATACTGCTCATTTCTATATAAATGGTAACATTGCTAAAAACAGGAGCAGGAGCAATGATTTTTTAACAGAATGTCACACAGTGCCGGAAAGTAAAAACACAAACTTCAAAAATTTCAAACACATGAATGACTACATATAGTGCAAGGGGAAATTGTGCAAATGTGCTTTTCCACTGAAATTTGGAAATTTGGAATAAAAAAGCTAACTACATCAATATAGTGTATTTGTGTTACTGGTTGTGCAACATTCATTAACTTGCAGTATTTGAACTTTGAGTCTGGATATGTGGGTGTGTGTGGCTGACTCACTGTGTGTGTATTCTCTCCAGCACCGCAGCATGTGTTTGGCTTTCAGGCGGAATGTGTGTTTGGCTCTGCTACTGGCAAGCTGCTGTTGAGTCCAGCCGCTTCTCCACTGAGAGAAAGCAGCGCTGCAGAGCCTGTGCTGCACAAAGGACAGAGCTACAGTCTGTCTCTCCTTATGGCACTGCGCACACATCTGCCATGCAGCGAACACCCTGGAGTACACATACACACACACACACACACACAAACACACACACACAAACACACAAACACACACACAGAGACAGAGCAATTTTAAAGTTGCTTTAATATGTTAAAGTTAAAGTTGCTTTAATATGTTCAAATTCATTTTATGGGTCCATCATTAAAGGTGAATGCCACCCACTTTCTGACATTTCTGCATGATTAAATGGTTAAGATGTAAACAAAGTCATTCAGAGTGGTTTGTTGTGAAATGCTCTGTTCTTGATAAACCAACTCAGGATTGGTCGCAGCAGTCGTGATAGGAATGTGAAATCTGAAACGATGTCCCTAAAAGCTCCCTCACAGGAAGTTATTACATGAAATCATTACAAATAAGCAGGCTGAGACACTGTTTTACCATAGTCTGTGGTTAAAAACAAGCTTTTGGTTTACATATTTTCTAAAAGTCAGTCAGGGTGGAGTGGTACACTTCTTTTTTCAGATTTAACACTACTTCATCATTAACAACATTACCTATAAAAAACAAAATGTTTGGGGGTTCACTGGTCATTTTGGATAGTAAATAAGTGGCTATATTTGCATTGTAGACATCGTGACCCCTAATTCTTATCACCACCATTGCTAAAGAACCTGCATCCGTAAGTCTCTCTACAATTAACCATTTCACAACAAAGCACTCTGAACGACTTTGTTTTCTCAATGATTGAATTAGACAGATTTATTTATTATTTCTCAAACAGGAACCAACTTATTTTATGTACTGTGAGTTTGAAAGTACCACCAGATTTAAACGCCCAATCATGGCTTGGGTTGGTGTGGGAGAGGAAGGGGGGGTTATAGGTGTATTTAAAAATGAGAGGGAGGCTACATATGATGACTATGTGTGTTTTATTGTTCAATCTGTACAATGTTTTGCAGCAAATTCTATCGTAAAACTTCATTCAGTATATACAAGACTGAATATTAGGGTTTGGGCAACAGAGCAATGTAGTTGGATATTGGCGATTACTGACAAACAAGCCAAATATGAGGATTCAAAGGAAATAACTGCTGTGTTGGGAAAGAGAACTAACAGAAGACTACAAAAACACTTCGCTAAATAATATTAAATAATATTGACAAATATTTGTTTATTTTATTTTATGAATTATTGCTGGGCATTAATAAGACATTAGGCTACAGTAGAGTAAATTTTCCACTGACCTAGCTGGGGGTTTCCCAGAGTCGGTGACATAACCACTGATGAAAATTCTAAACACTGAGGGTCCTGATGGTTCAGATGAGTTGTAAAATTATAAAATTTGAATTCTTTATCAAAGGAGTAATCATGAGGGCTTTGGCTACACCGAAGGAGTGTGCCTTGTTGGACGTGGCTTTGGAACTCACTCATTTAGAGCACGTGTAGCAGTCTGGAGTTTCTCCAGCAGAGGGAGCTATTAGCATGCTTCGCTTTTGTGTGCATCATTTAAAGAGAGGAAACAGGAATTCACAAGTTTGCTGTAACATTTTCAAACCAAGAGGTGAAATAGTTTCCCAGAAATATTCAGTGAATCAATATATATTATTCTGCATTTTATACAATATACAGTATTTCAATAAAAATTCTGACTAAATTAGTCATGAATATAAGCTCAAAACAGCACAGAAAGTAGGTTTAAGCTGCAGCAGACGATGTGTATGTATGTTTACAGGCAGGGATATGGGTGGGGGTGGGGAGGGCCTGTTTGGGGGGTTGCAATATTATCAATAATCCTGATTTTTCAAAAATAAAGTATCGTCCTCATTTTTTTAGATATCGTCTACTAAAGGCCTACTAAATGTTTTGAACCCTAATTAAACAATGCCATGCTAAAAAAAGAATACCATGTGAATGGCCAGCAATCTGCAGTATAGTCACATAGGTCATGAAATACTGCGCAGCCTAACAGCGTGCCCATACCCAGCTGCTGTAATATGTAACCCTTCCTTCATCCAGTGTGTAATGTAATTCTCTACTGCTTACTTCCTCAGTAGCATGCGGGTACAGAATGCACTGATGGAGTTGTGCTGTCTCCTACGTGCTGTCCATGTTGAGAAAGCCCAGCTGAGGAGACGTCTCTCCACCCTCCGCTCCACCTGTTCCAGCCTGCTCTTCAGAACAAAAACTGCCTGCAGCCATTCACACCCAGAGTCACGTTTACTACCGACACCCAGGACTACATTTGAGCACGAGACTGTAATATTTGAATCATGTTTGTGTTTTGCCTTTAGTGCATATGATGAAAGAAACTGTCTGAAGAAGAACGTGACTCTAAATAGCCAGATAGTAACTGAAACACTGTGAAAAGACTGCAGTACAGTCTAATAAAGTGTATTAAAGTGCCCACATCTGACATGCTTCTTGTATTTCACGACATTTTGTATTGCAATTAATTTTTACCTAACTATTTTTCTATGGAAAGCAATTGGTGACCAACTGAATAGCAATCTCTACAGTGGAAAAAAGTGAAATGCAATGCATGATATCACTTTTCCATAGTGAAATGCAGAATATGTGACAAATTAAAAACTTAACCCCTATTACATTGTTTTCATATCACATAATGTCAGAATATTTCCAATTTTTGTGCCATTTGTTTATGTCGGGTTCAGTGTGTAATGGTCTTTACTGTGCCTTTATGACTGATATGCAATTGAACTCTGTTCTTATTGGCTGGCCTGTGTTGTTATCAAAAAGCAGTCCATGCTGAAACATTCCTTATAACTTCGACATGAATGGGTGGAGCTAAACTGCCACACGCTGAAAAGGGAATACACAGTTGTATGCAAACGTTTGGGCACTCTTGATTAAGCTACACTTTGTTGATTTTCCAAGTAAAAATAAGTTAACACATTGTCTACAGGGAATACACTTATGTACATTGTAATGCATAGATACTGTTCATTTGCTGAGTTTAACATAATGGATTAATAATTGAATAAAATAATAATTGAAATCAATAATTGAACAATAAAACATAAAACGTGGCCTGTGCAAAAATTATGCCATATTATGTATTATATTTTTTCCTATATATGTAGTGATTCTGCACTAAAATTCTCAGAAAATGCCATATTTAAGGGTGTTCTCTGTAGGCAATGTGAACTTATTTACACTTTTAAAAAATCAAATCACAATCAAAACATGCAACTTGATGGGGGGTGTTCAAAATTTGCAAACAACTGTATGCAAATGGGTTAGTTTTCATGACAACCCAAATAACAATAATATCTAAATGGGCTGATTAAGCAGTTAGGTCTCCATGTAAGGACTGTCTGGATTGGGGAATGAATAATGTGTTGAAACAGTGTTTACATACTACAACAAACTTCATTCAGAAAAGTGAGGACATGATAAGGGCCCTTTAAACATGGTTTGTTATTATGTTTAGCATCGATTTCACCTGTGTGCGCCAGGCTGAACAGCAGTGTTTGATTAGCGTGGTCTGATGAAAGTGAATGGCCTGCTGCTGTAGGTAGTGTTCTCTGTGTCTCCACCACGTCAACCTTTTCCAGCCGGTCAGAGAGCTAGAGAGCAGCACCCTCTCCTGTTCAAATACACACCCACACAAACACACACCCGCACGCAAAACAGCACATGGCACTAGTGCTTTCAAAATATGGACTACACTATGGATTGTTTCTTTAACCCTTTAACAATCCAGGATTATTACATGCAATAGTTTCAGTAATTCAGTAATTCAGTAGCTACAGGGACTTCAGTGCAAAGTAAAGGAGCTATTCTTCGGATACAGAAGTGTGTAATAATACTTTGGGCCTGCAGGCCCACGGCTTGTTAAGGGGCTAAAAAAAAGAGAAATTCATTAATGAATATATTATATTTCTAACCTAAAACATGCATTTCAGTTTTGGTTATTTAAAGAGTGCTTTACTTACTTCTTAAAGAATATTCTTGCTCAAGTATATCACAGGTCAGAAAAACATAATATACTATAAAAATGCCAAAATTCTGTCTTAAACTACATTTAAGTGCAGGCAAACTCAGCCATAAAAGTAATGCATTCCGTTTTCTTAATTCAAAATATATTACATAAGAATACAGTACTGTGCAAAAGTCATTCATACAATTCAGTTTCTAGTCAAAGCAGCCATTATGTAGAAGTTATTATTTTCAGCCTCAGGGAAAAAGCAGAAAATATATATCCCAACAAAATGTGTTTCCAAAGGTGTCACTGACATTAAGTTCTCCTTCAAAGAGACACTAATATTCACAATAAAATAAATAAATAAATAAATTAGAAAAAAGGGACTCCTAATGACCATAGAGGACCTGGTACTTCTAAGACTGAACTTTGGAGGTACGGAAAAATAGCCCTGCAGATTTCTTTGAAAAAATGAAAGCAGGTCTCTTAAAAAGAAGAGAAATAGTAGTAAAGGCATAACTGTGGCCACACTAAACACTGAGTATTGTTGCTTTTTCCTGATGCTGAAAAATGAAGGATCTGGACTTTATGGCTGCTTTGACAAGAAGCTAAATAAATGAAAGTATGATCTCTTACAAATGCACTGCACTGTAATTGTTACCAAACTTTAGTAAACTGAAAGACAAAACTGAACTTATGTACATTTGAATCAAGTAAATTCAATGCCTCACACTCGTCAGTGTGTACAGAGCCTGAATATAAAATACAGCAGGTTATTTGCTCAGCCTGCTTGGCCTCACCCTGTGCCTGACAGCCTTGTGCTGCATTTCAGTGTGAATTCTCCATGTGCTGAAGGCCAGCTTGAGGCAAGTCAGTTTCCGGCTGTTTGTGAACAGGTCAGCCTGCCGCTTCATCTGCCTGCTGCTGTGGAGCACGGCCCTCCACTGAGATAAGGCAAGGCTCAGGTCAGGCTGCATCAATCTGACCAGCACGTGCAGAGCTACGGTCTGCAGGGACAGAGAAACATCAAAAGCCTATGGAACCTAACAGAATCTCAGATTAAAAGGGCTGATCTGGGATCACATTTCCACTGAGGCTGTTGCTGGTAGGCACCCTGTGTGCTTAGAAACTGATCTGAAGGAAAAAAAGCATTTGTATGTTTGACTTAAACAAAATCAAGAGCAGTGAAAGACTACGTGCTTAAAATACTGCTCAACATCTGAACTGCAACTTAAAAAAAAAGCCATATATTTTTTTTGTATGAGCTGCAGAACAGGGGTGTCTCATTCTGGTTCTGGAGCTTCATTATAAAACATTTGTATGCATGGATTTGATCTTAAAATGTGTGTAATAAATCACATTTCAGTAATGATTTATACTACCCTTCAAAAGTTGGGAATCACTATTTTCAATATTATAAAATGGATATTTCCGGTACTGAAATCTGATTGGCTGAGCTGCGGTCGAAGCCGTTGTTAAATTCAGCACATACACACCAATGACCACCTCACAATGACTGAACTCTGTATCACGGCACCACAGCACTTGCAGGAACCATGGAGTGTACTGATGAAGTAAGAACCCATTTTCTATTTAAACTGAGTGGCTAACAGCTTATTTTCTTAACTAGAAATAGGCTGGTCAGCTAGCTTTCAGGCTACAAGATAGCCAACAGCCCAAATAACTCCATCATTAATATCACAAACTTGAATTAAAGTACTTGCAACATGATTCATTGTAAAAGGGCAATATGAAACACTAAAGAATGTCTCTTGAATGACTTACATGCTTCAAATGTTCGTGTTTCAGTCAGAAGTCGTGTCAAACCCAGGCTGAATCCCAAACGTTTCTGCACTCCCTAAATAGTGTGGTAGCTATGAAAGTTTAGAAATTCTAGCCTCTACAGCCAAATAGTGCATCATTTATCGAGTTTGGATGTGGCCGAGTCCCATATGACTATTTTTACTCCAGAGGATCCAGGATTTAAATTCGTATGTAGTGCACTATATTGGGAGCAGGGAGCCATTTGAGATTCAACCCCAGTGTGAGAAGAGGGGCGCTGCTGGATTGGTGCTAAATGCGATTCGCTGTGGTAATTTGGTGACCAAAAAGTACTTATAAAGCGAAAGTTTTTGCATTAAACAGTGCTGTGTTATGATATGTTCATTGTTATACAACAAAAAGTTGAAAAGCTCATGAAATGACTGCGATGGGCGACCGAACTTTCTTCTTCTCTTTCAGCGGTTCATGGTTGCTTGGCAACAACACCATACGCAAAAGGAACTACATTTCTTGGCAGAATACTTATTTATGTTGATTATTATTAATAATAACTGCAAAAGTGTGTATTTTATCATAGTTTATGTTGGCTGCCTTTTATAAAAGCAATAAGCCACTCAAAGTTTTAGGCTTGGCATAGGGCCTAAGAACACCTCTCCTGTGATAAAATCGCAGTAACGCACGGCCTCTTGTGGCTTATTGCTTAAATACAACACATGAATAGATAAATGTACAATATGATTGCAATAGTAGAAATATTCAATGATGAATGGAACTGAAGATGATTCAATAATAACTAAGAAAGCTTTAGAGCATCAAGAATAAACTTAGAATAAAATAAATATTCAGAATGCTTCATATTTATAAAGCAGTGACCATTCTTGAGGATCAAACAGATATCCATAGCAATTTTATAACGAGAAATTAGTATAAATACACATTTACAGTTCATTATTTAGTAACATTTGCTGTTTTTTAACATAACTTCTTCTTGTTGGCAAAATACTTTAACATGTGAATAAACCAATAGTTTTACACATGAGTGCAAGAGCCCAACCTGAAATACACACATCTCTTATCGCAGTCACAGTGTGCTACAAGCATCAGAATTCCCAATTTGTCATCAGTATGCTTATATAAACGATCAGTGCACAAATGCTGAGAAGAAAATTCAAGTATGTTTAATAAATGAGGCTCCTGGTTTCCAATTCCGGGTCCAGCATAGTTCAGTGATTTTCCTGCTCAAACACATCTACGGTAGCTGGTAATAACTTGCTGAGTTGAACTGGATGTGTACAAGTAGCAAAATCATCAAACTGTGCTGGACTGCACCCCTCCAGTACCGAAGCTGGATCCCCTTGCTCTAAACCATGTCAGGCATAACCTTACCTCTCCTCTGCAGGGATGAGCACAGCTCTGGTGTGGATAAGAGAAAATCCCAACATCTCCTGATTCCTCTGCATCATGTCCTCTGTGAAGATACAGCAGGAGTCACTAGCAACAGCCTGAAGCTGACTGAACCACACAATGCAGGCAACAGCAGCATCTTTTTCATTTATATATATTCACTCAACAAATGAAGACAGTCAAATACCATATACCATCAATTAGTTAAAGCTTAAAGCCACAGGGAACCTAAACCTGTGTTTTTGTACATTATGCATGTAATTTTAACAGTATACATGT